TTGGTTCAAAACAGCCTTTTGCCTTGTCTTATCTCCACCGATACTGGTTTGTATTCAGTGTTAAAAGTTCATGTGGAGAATTCTGATTCCATCAAGCAATTTTTATGTTATTCCCTTCCTTTTAGACCACTGGGACCATCTGCACTGGGCAGGCAGCACTCAGAGACCTGAGTGTTTCTGGAGCACTCTGCTCACTTAGTGCCTGTTGAGGGCTGTGTTTATGGAAAAAACTGCATTAAATAAGTGATAAGACACAAACACTTCTCTGCAATTCTCTTTCAGATGTCTAAGCAGCTGGACATGTTTAAGACCAACTTAGAAGAGTTTGCCAGCAAACACAAGCAAGAAATCCGTAAAAACCCTGAGTTCCGGGTCCAGTTTCAGGATATGTGTGCAACAATCGGCGTGGATCCTTTGGCATGTGAGGAACGGGCACCGGGGTTCATGGTCAAGGATTCATCTCACTGGTCCCATGCTGTAAACGGCTCACAGTGAAACTGGTGAAAGTTGTCCATGAGGAGAGCCGGTGGTGTTTGACTCTTGGGGTTTGTGCATTGGTGTGGTGTCCCTTTGGGTGCTATTTACTTAAAAGGGTGGGGGAAAACAAGTGGAGATAAACACAATGGAGATTTTTCATTAACAGATCTGAGGCCTCACAGTGAGGTTTGCGAGCAGCCTGCTTTGCAGCAGTAACTGTTAAGGAAGGGTATTTTTTTCCCCAGTGGTTCAATCGCTTTCTCCTTTCTCTCTTCACAGCTGGTAAAGGATTCTGGTCAGAGATGCTGGGAGTTGGAGACTTTTACTATGAGCTGGGTGTGCAGATCATTGAAGTTTGCCTGGCTCTGAAACACAGGAATGGAGGTGAGGATCTCCCTGTGTCTGTCCCACCCCATGTTCTTCACTCCAAAAGGGCAATCTGAGACCAGGAATGGGCTCCAGCAAAGCCAGTTGAAGCTCGAGTCCAATACATCTGTGGGAGAAGGCAACAGCTGACGGCTGCGTGTTAGTTCTGGGAACAGCAGTGACTCAATGCTTACCTCACCCAAGTCTTGATACTGGGAACAACGAAGAGCTGCTCGTAACATGGCAGGCAGGGGAGAACCAGTGGCAAATACACAAAGGACCCTTGACTGCTGTTGCTGGAGTAATTTTGTTGCTCTGCATTAATGCTTTCCTGTCCCCTTCTGTCAACTCCCAGGTCTGATAACGCTGGAAGAACTTCATCAGCAAGTGCTGAAGGGAAGGGGGAAGTTTGCGCAGGACGTCAGCCAGTGAGTGTCTGTGTATTACAGGAAAGGGGAATCAAGTAACAGTTGGGGATGAAAAGGGGTGACTGATTCTCCAAACTTGACTTCTAGCAATGGAGATCCACAGTTAATGACTTAACTATTTCAGAAAGCAGCAGTGTGCTCTCTTTGGGAGCCCTAAGGCCCAAGGGACTGCTGGCTTGAGCTGGAGATAATTCTTCCCCTGCAAATCCAGCTGTCTCACTGCCACAGTCTGCTGAAGCTGCTGTGGTCTCCTGAGCTGTAAGGAAGGGGCTGGTTCGTGTCATTACAGAAGCAGATTTGAGGACACAACTCACCATGATCACTAATTTGGGCTGAATCTTAAAGTTTAGCACTCGCAGCTCAGGTGCTACAAGTGTGTTTCTAATGCAAGTCTGCCCTTCTGAAGAGGGCTGCAGATATGCAAACTAATTCTAAATTCCTTTGTAAATAAATTTTTCAGCTGTTGATTACCTGAAACTGCAGCAAGCTCCAAGGAGCTATGACTGCCCACAGCTTCTGCGTGTCAAACCTTCCTCACTTACAGAGCATAGGGTGCAGTTAGAGAGAGGCTCTTGCTTTAAAGCCTTGCATTGACTTCTGCTTCTCAGGGACGATCTCCTCCGTGCAATCAAGAAACTGAAGGTCCTGGGGAGCGGCTTTGGGATTATCCCTGTTGGTGGAACGTATCTGATCCAGTCGGTACCGGCTGAACTGAACATGGACCACACCGTCGTCTTGCAGCTGGCAGAGGTACTGAGCCAGACCTTAAAATACAACCACTCTGAAAGAACCTTATTGCATCTGTGTCAGGGAACTGTGATCAGACCAGGCCTGTAGGCAAAACTTTCTGCACTCTTCTAAACTCTGGACTGAAATCTTGGCTATAAACACACAGTACTTTTCCTCTCATTTCAGAAAAAGGGCTATGTAACAGTCAGTGAGATCAAGTCCAGTCTGAAGTGGGAGACAGAACGTGCAAAGCAAGTGCTGGTACGTATGAAGGTCTCGTCACAGTTCAGTGACAGCGTAGGCTGCTTGTCTGAACTGTATTTCTCTTGGTCAAATTATTGTAGCCCAATTCTACACCCTCCCTTGCCCTAGAATGAATGTGGGGTCAGGCCTCTATTGTGAATGGCTTCTCAGCCGTTCAGTGACGTCTCACTCAGTCCCCGCTCTGTTTGTGCAGGAACACTTGCTGAAGGAAGGAATGGCCTGGCTGGACATGCAGGCGGCAGGAGAACCTCAGTACTGGCTGCCCGCTCTCTTCACAGAGCTGTACTCTCAGGAAATCACACCCGAGGAAGCCAAGGAGGCGATACCTTGACTGCTACGTGTTCTGTGCCTGTATCTAATTCTCCTTGTGAGCTTATTTGCATATCACATGAAACACAGCCCCAGTGGACTTGTAATAAAAGTTTTGTAAAAAGTGTCTAGCTTGAAAAGATTAATAGGACTAATTCATACTTGCTTGCCTCTGAATTTTCTCCTCTGTTGTGGGTGGAAATGCCACTTGCCACTACAACCTTGTCACAGCAAGAGGAAAATGAGCGAAGCTGCTGTTGTGACTGCAGTCTTGGAGGATGCGAATGCAACTCCAGCTAAAGAATCCTGGAGCCAGCAGTGACACTGACAATCTGCTCTGTGAGCGAGTCGTTGTTCCACTAAGGAGTACCACAGTCTAGATTCTGCCAAAACAAACTTTATTGCACAAAAAAAAAGAAAATCTTATGTACAATAGTATACAAACAAGGTATCTTAGAGTGACTCTTGTGCATATATTTTTCAACTCAATTAGGTCTAAAAATCTGCTGCTAAAACATCTCTGCCTAGAGCAGTCATTTGAGGATTGTCACTTTGAAATGGAAACATTCAGAAATGGTAGGACAGACGACATTAGAGCTATAAAACTAATACTTCTCTTTGACAGCCACATGCTAGTTATGTGAATAGTGTCCACAATAAGGCATTTTCTTGTTTCGTCGTATCGGTGGATGGTAACGCCACATGCATCACAAACAGATTTCAGAACCAGCTCTGCCTTGGGAAGGCAGCAGAGTCACAGCTCTACCCACAACGCTACTGAATGGTGAAAAACAACGTGACATTTACAATGGGATTAAGAGGCGGTGAAGGAGGACGCAGCTCGCGGCTTCTGGGGAGACCCCGCTGCCTCCCCGAGGCCTCATTTCGAGGTGGACACCGCTTTGTTGGCTCTCACCTGGTGTTAGGTGTTGAATGAGTCCTATGCAAGCTCAGCTTTCCCTCAAGGGGAGACAGGGTTTAAGCCTAAAATCAAGCCAATGACAGACCCAGGGGAGTTTGTTAAAGGGAAGAGAAAGGTTCCCAAGTTGTTAAACGGCACCTTAACAATTCCAAAATGTTTCCACCTTTCAGCTTTTCAGAGCTGCTTGAGCAGCAGTGTGCAGGCTTCTGAGTTCTGCAAGAGTTGATATAAATCACAGACTGAGAAGAATTCAGTGACGCATGGGGCATTGCCTTTCTGTGCAGCACATGGCAGGGGTCTTCTGGCCCCTCTTTCTGCGCTTTTTTTAGGCAAAGATGACTGCGTTGGAAGTTCTCCCACCACCATCGGGAGCCTGAAACAGGGCCGAACTGGTGGGAAGGTGTTGAAGGAAACTGGGAGAGGGCCCAGGACAATGTGCAACTTTGTGCTTAGCTTTCTACCAAAGCTCCCATAAAAATAATAAGGGGGGGAAAAAAAAATGGATTAAGCTCTTTATCAACAGGACCTTATACTGCTTCAATCAATCGCCACCAGGCTCATCCACCTGGAGAAACCGGGTGTTTCACCTCCACCCAAGTTACACCCAATACATCTTCGATGTAATGGCACTCGCAGGCAGCAGCCTCCCCTCGGAGAGCCCGGCCTTCGCTCGCAGGAAAAAGCTGCTGCGTAAAACAGTCGAAGCACTGAAGTGTTAAACTTGACGCCGCTCAGCTACAGCTCGCGCCCCGCCAAGTTTGGCAAAGGAATTTGTCAGTAACAAGGCGTACACCTCTGCAGAGCTCCACCCAGAAACAGTGGCTCGCTTAGCAAGAATCGCCCCTTATTCGAGTGTTTTAATCTGATGGATCAAGGTAGCAGCGGGGAGTGAGGCGGCAGGAGGAAGAAGGGAGGAAAATAAAACATTACACCGAGTAGAGAGGTGGAAAGCAAAGAGTTAAGGAAACAAAACAGCTCCATTCAGAGCAGCCAGAATAAAATATTTCTAAAATGCTAAATTTAAATCAACACCTTAAAAATAATATGCAAACTATATTTATTTTTAAGTGCTCCCCGTATCTCTGACCAATGATTTTCTCACCCTCCCTTCCCCCCAAAAATGCCAGGATGAACACACCTGCACTCGATTTACAGATTCTCGCAGTTCCCACTTCTCATCCGCCCCTTTGTGCCTGAAGTCTCAGTGGACGAAGTCACCCAGGGCTTGAGTAAAGCTTTCAGAAAGGAGCCCAGATTCCACTACTGCTCTTTATCTTTGGTCTGTCTAGAACAGCGTCTAGAAGAAAGACATCAGGTAGATGGGCTCCAGAGAGCAGAGAGGCTCCATCTCTCCCAACCCGCACTAGAAGGTTTTGCCTGGGCACACGGCGCGGGGGCCCTGTCATGCCCTGGGCTCGTCAAAGCGCTCCCACAGCTACAGCTCCACGTTCAGCACAGCCCCAGGGGAGGGCTCATTGTCTAGGAACAGAAAAGCTGTAAGAGGATTCGCAGTCTGGATCTCATTCTTTAATCAAATGGAGAAGAAAAAAAAAAAAATAATTCAACCAGTGTAGGTATTTCCAAAAAAAAAAAAATAGAAATAACCTGATGCCACATGCTCCGGCTTCCTAGCATAGTAAGTACCTTTAAGAGTAGCCTGTCACAAGCTTGGCTTTGTCTAGCATGAAGTCTTCTCGTTCAGCGTTATCCACCAGAGCAGTGAAAGGAGACAGAAGATATCCCACAGTTTTCCTCGCTCTGGCATTGGTTTGGTTGTCGAGTCTGTCAGGGATACTCTAAAGTGTGAAGACAGAACATCCCCACGGCTTGGCCTCTCCACTGGTAACGCAGCTCTAAGCTTTAGAGCAACCTTGAGTGTCTGTCTCTGTCTCGGAGGAGCTGCTCTCAGAGTCTATTTCTGTATTCTCCTGCTGGTTTTTCTCTTGCACCTTCTGCCGAATTACTTGCAAACGCACTAATAGGGACTGATAGTCAAAGTGGCCTCGTTTTTCTCCAAAAGGATCCTGGAAGAAAACCATAGATAAGCCTGTTAATGTAGACCATTATCCTTCTGGCAAGAGGCAGAAGGAAGAAAGCAGCGTAGTAATTGGGCAACAAATGGTCAAAGACTTAAGGGTTAAAGCCCATCCTATGACGGAGAGGCCCCTAAGCTTCCCACTGTCATGGCAGAGGTTGAAGACTGAAGATAATTTCAGTTGGGAGACTCTTTTGGGAAACCGTACAAAACCAAGCAAACTTCAAAAACAGAGGAACGGCCAGGCAGACACGGCTTGAATTTCGACTACAGCTCTGAAGAAGTCAACTGATTGAAAGACTTGGTCTCGGGCCCACTTCAAGGAGGCAGGGAAAAGATCACAAATGAAAGCCCCTAAAATCCAGAGGCCAAAGAGTTGACCACACTCAGTGTTAGTGCTACAGACCCTTTCCAAACGAAAGCATCGCTGTTCTTGTTTTAAATCAAGGTCCCCAGCTGAGATGTAGCCAAGTCAGAGGCAGAAAACCTTTGGAGATTATTTAACATGTGCTGCTTTTATCCCCATCCCAGGTCAAAGACACATTGCCAGGGCTATATAAGGTGGTGGTGGAGTTTACGCCATCGTATCTGATGGGAATCTTTGGTACAAGCCAACGTGTGGTCCCAGAGTTAACAAGACAGCGCAGCTGGCAAGCACTCGACTGATTCTGAGCCTGGAGTGACTTAATTTCAAATACAGGGTAATGCAGACAATAACGCCATCTCTCCAGCACGTTGCAGTCATGCTTCCTGCACTACTATTTACAAGTGAGCAGAAAACAGACCACGGCAGCCACTGCCTTTGGGAACCGAACACAACACAGGGACCTTCATAAAGGCTTCCTGAAGAAGAAACAGGAGTGGGCCACACCTGACAATTCTCTACTGCCACCAAACTTCACCACCCAGCCTTCAGTTCAGTCCTCTCTGCAGCTCAAAGTCAGGCACACACCTTCCTTATGGGAATTTCTCACTCCAAACGTGAACCCTCCTGCTCTGGGAGTGCTTTCCATTTATGAATTACCCAGGCACTGACAAGAAAAAGGGGCTCAGAGACACAAGATCATTAAATCAACCACCTCCATCTTTTCTTAGCAGTCGAATTTCTCAATGAGTCAGACAAGAGGTGGCTGATGAGGGAGGAAGACACATCTGTTCATATGCAAATAGCTTGGCAATCTATTCTTTAAAGTCTACTTTCCTGCAGAAACAAGTTCCTGTGTTCAACCTGTCTAGATGTGTCTGTCTACTGCAGCTCTTCCTCCACCCCTTCCTCCCCCAGTAACTTTCAGCTCAGTCAGCCACTTTCACCCCCATCTGACAGAGCAAGGAGCATCAGGGAAAAGTTTCTATCCACAATATGAGCAAAGGAACCTCAGAAAAAGAGGAACTCTACCAGTGTCCCAGCAGGAAAACGCTGCTATGGAGTTCAGACGCCACCAACGCTGGATAACCTGCGTGTGCCCTCCCTGCTTAGCACCAGGTCCACAGGAAAGCAAGCTCTATTGGTTCCACTGCTGAAGGAAATACCTGTGTGCCCAGGTCCAGCACTCTGAGAAGCCTCACAGCCTTGAAAACCCTGTGTGCACACTGTGAACTTGGGGAAGGCAGCGCTTTATCTACTGAAACATCTCAGGTCTCAGTTTCATGGAGGGTTCAAAGTTGGAATATGCATTTCTGAGAAAAGATCCAGATCCACGCCACCACACCTCTAGGTGCTGCGCACTGCTGTCTGTCAAAGCACACACCCTTACCGAAGGCAGTGCGTTATCAACAGGAAAATGGTCTGCCACCCACCTGCATTGTCTGTCCTTGGAGATAAAGTCTCTCTTTACACACCCCTTCGTAGAAGTCGTAGTACTCCATGAAGGATTTCTCCATTACAGTCCTGAATGCAATGAGAGAGCAAACAGCACAAAGTGACAGCGTTACAATGGTCACAGCACCCAGTGCACCCCATCCCACTGAATTCCACTTCATGCAATCAGGGTGCAGCCCCATACAGGGAGGCCCAGACAACTAACGGGGCGCAGCGAGGCAGGACACAGAGCAAAACCAACGGCAGCGTCACTGCAGCTGGAGATGCTGCACGTGTTTCCACAGCAGCTGTGCTCCCCTCCCTCCGAGGGGTTTTATTCCCCATAAGACAAGGCACATTTATACTCAAACACGAGTCACAGGATGCAGCCATTGTGCGCATTAACGCAGCCTTTGTCAATGCACAGCTCCTGGACACCACACAAATGCAGCCGTCCACTTCAGGGGAAATAAAAATGACTCTTTGCTGGACCAGGGAGAGTTCAAGCCTTGCTCTTCCCTGGAGCAACAACCAGGATTTCAGGAAGGGCAGCCAGAGAAGTTTATTCTGCTTCTCCACACCCACTTTCTTATGCTCCCTCCATGCCTCCTTTCCATACCGTAACGGCTCGGGACAGGGACACTTTCCCTCCAGCATGTCGCACACTGCTACGCGGATGGTCTCATGCCGAATGCACTCGTTATAGTTCTTGCTGTCCCCAGGGTGCCTCTCCTGCAAATAGAATTTGGGCCAGTGAGTCCATGCGACTGCAATGACTCTTGGTCTCTCTCTCCTGGGCCTGATGAATTTCACTGGTGCGCAAATCCACTACGGTTTTGTCTGTTTTGTGTGTGCTGAGCTAATTTATACTGCAAATGTAAAGCTGGTGAGATTTTACACGTCTCCTGAGCCTCGGACTCACACAGCTGTGGAGACAGGTCAACTGACGAAGCTAGCACAGAAACCTGCCTCTCTACAAGACGCTGGAAACCATGAAAACCTGAGCAGTTCATTTCCTGCGTGATAATGTGTCACAGGGAAGCCATTTCGGGAGTCATGTAGCAGAGAAATGAAGAGCTACCCCATCTCCCCAGCAACTTCTCAAATGCCTCTTGTTCTTCTGTTACCTTACCCATACGTGAGCGAAGCAGCCTCCGGCTCAGAGCTGGCTTGCAGCTCCTTCTCAAGCTCTGATAGAGGCAGAGCAAGCTGGAGAAGAGCCAAGCGACGTAATCTACTTTTGTCCCCATTTCCAGAACAGGATTTGCCACCAGGAGCAAGGTGTGAAGAGCCAAATAGCTGCAAAACCGGGGATGATCCACCTCAAACTCTCACCTGCTCAAAGCCGGGTTCATTGTGATAGGGGTTCTCAGTCATCAGAGACTGGATGGAGATGAGGACCGATGAGATACTCTGTGCTGGGCTCCAGGCAGGCCCGGTCCAAGTGCTGAGGCATTAAAACAGAAAAGCATCAATTAACAACGCAGGATTGGCCCGGTGAGCACCATCCCTCCAGCCACCGAAGATCAGAAAGGTTGGGAAAACACATCTCTACCTTACAGAAACGCGACAGGAAAAGAAACAGCTGCTACAGGTATAGAAAGCACTGGATGCTGAGAAAGTTTTCAGGGTCAAAGCAGTTTATTCTCTCAACCAAATGAGTACTTTAGCTTCAGCAAGACAAGAGAGGCTGCTAAACTTCACTGCTCACACACACAGGGCAACACACGTGAGCTGAGGAAAAATAACATTTCTGAGCATTTCATGAGGCACTTTAAAGTCATGGCTATCGCCTCACACAGCAGCCTGGAGCAACACAAGCTACCAACAGCCAGAAATGACTCTTAAGAACTGGAAGCTGCCTGTCAAGACTCAAACAAGGCCATCACTTGTGCAGTCTGTAACACACTCAGCACAAGGATGGCCACCAAAGCACTAACAGACGCTCTGCCTGTCACAATAAGGTGCCTGTTTCATACACACAGAGTAGCAAAAACCTTTGCACAGGACAGCATAAGTCAAAAAAGCTGTTCTGCTGCTCGCCCTTAATATCCTAGTTCCAGATACAGGCCTGTCTCCCTGTGAGCTGAACAAGGATGTGCTGACCCACATATGAGCTTCCTAAATCCTTTCATTCGCAGCTCCCTCTGCGCTTCCCATCCCTGCTAAGGCCGAGGCTCTTTGTTCACTCGTCAATAATTTACCTTCCACGCCAGGACTACAATTGCAAGAGCAACGAGGCCGCTTGTGCAGGAGCTGCTGGGCATTCAGAGCCCTGAGATACGGACGTGCCCTACACATCTCAGTGCTCTGCAGGCGTTGGCATCACCAGCCCAGAGTCTCAGCAAAAGCTTTTCTTTACTGGTAACTGAAACTGGGGTTGGGAATATCACACCACGGCCAGGGTTCCTCTGGCAGAGCCGTAAGAGCCACCCAATTAACCAGGACTTCCCCATGTTTAATAAAATCAAGGAGGTGAATAAGGAGCGTTTGCAGCAGCAAAGCTTGTTTGAACAGGCGGCATGGGAGCAGCTCTTGTAAATCATTACACCCGGCGCTCAGCCCCACGTCCTACGTGTAGGTGGAAGCCCAGAGCAGTCAAACGGCTCTCAAAGAAGTTCTTAGTGGCTTTTAGGTTTATTTATTTCTTTTTAAACCCACACAGAGAGGGGAAATTAAAGCCACAAAAACCTACATTCAGCCGACATTAAGGATCAGGCTGCGAAGCGCAAAAGCAGAAGAAAGGCAGTGTTTGAGCCAGGGTTTTCAAGGGGAAGCAGGAGAAAAGCGACAACGTCCACTGAATTTCATGCTTCCCCTGCTCCGTTCTCAGGTGCCCTTAAAGACAAGTTAGACTCTTATTTCAGTAGAGGAATTTGTGCTGCTTTACGTCTCTGATTCTGCCCTCCACAGAAGCGTAAAGGTGCGTCCAAGCACACGTCTGGGGCGAGATCAGGGCACAGCGCGCCGAGAAGGATGCAGGAGGCAGAACACAGCCTGCAGCCACCTCCTGCTTTCCCATCAAAACAGCCAAAGTCTCCTCTTACCCCAGAATACTCAGGCAGACTTTCCCATTGCGGTAGAAGTTGGGGTTAAACCTCACTGTGTTATTTCCCGTTGTCATCAGTTTGACCCTTGGTGGGTGGATGGGATAATCTGGAGGACAGCGAAACAGGAACAAGAAGAAACCCCCTTCATAAGGCGTGTCAAATGGGCCTGTGATCAATGCATGAATCTGGAAAACAAAAGCCCGTCTTGCGCACCACTTCAAAACTGTGCAGCACCGTCCAATCCTCAACAAAGCCGACCGAAGGCAAGAAACCTCCACCCAGGCAGCAGCACGGAGGCAGCGGCTTCCACAAGCGCAAGCCATGTGCGAGCCAGGCTGAATCCCTCCCCTTCCTCCCTCCCTCCTTCCCTCCTTAGCCAGGGCCGCTGCTGCGCACTTCTCCCCCCCTCTGCCACGCTCCGTGTGTGAAGCAGGTTTCCAACGCAAGCTTTGGCCAGAGTCCACAGCAGCTGCCTGCCATATACATCTCTATAGGGTCCAACCCAGCCTGAATCGCAGTTCAGCTGGGAAGCTTTGCTTCAAATTACAGAAAAAAAAAAGGGAAGATTTCAAATATGAAAATAAATCTAAATTTAGAAAGAAAAAAAAAAAAACCAATCAGAATTTCTGCCAGAACTAGAGCGTTCCTCAATTTTATGGTCTCGTGCTGATTTGCTCTTATTAAAACCAATCGCTCCGTTTTCTCTGCCAGGATCTGGAATTAAGACCCTATTCTCTCCATGCTAATTACCCTCAAAGATCCCAATTGTATACCAGGAAATCTATTCCCTTTGGGCTGTTAAGAAAGCTTACTCCCCAAGCGATCCAAGCCGTCTCTTTTAATGATCCTCTTACCTCCCCAGGATTTCAGTTAAAAGCCCCAAGGGTGTTCTACAACCTGGCATCTCCATTTTGGGGCGTTTTGGCACTTTTTAGGCATCGAGGGAAGCCAGAGCTGCAGCTCAGTGTGTGGGGTGGGAGCTGTGCAGGGCCACTCCCTTTGTGCCACCTCCAAAAATCCAGGGGCTCTAAGCCAGGAGGGAATTTGGGGGATGCCACATTTGTCAGAGGGTGGGAGAAGTGCGCAGCAGAGAAGAAACCAATGCGACCCCACACACACACGCACACACAAACCAGCACAGCCAGACCTGGTGACACTGGCTGGAGAAAGGGCAGCAGCAGCCAAAAAATGAGCAACCCAGCTCCCTGCATTCCCTCTGACATAACTGGAAATTCCCAGTCCTGGAAAACACCAAGAGCTGGGGGTGAAGAATGTGGACAGGAGAGGCCGTAGCCGTATCTGTGGCCCAGGGGAGCAGCTCTGCTGGAGGCGACGGGTGGGAGTGGTTGCATGGGTCAGACCTGCACACAACCCCGTCCCGGTGAGTGCCAGGGGGGCAGCTCCAGAGCAGGACAGGGCCCGGGCACAGGGACACATCTCAGTGCCACCTCACAACCATTAAACATCTCCAGTTTCCACAGGTGGATTACAGACGCTCCAGCACTGCTTGTTGCTAATGGACATTTCTCATTTCCAACTTCTCTGAGAAAGCTCCCATGGCCAACAGCTTCTCATGGAGCTCTCTCTCCCTTGAGCTGCTGTACTCATTGTTTTCAAGTACTGGGAGAATGATCTGAGCTGGATCAGCACCCCACTGGTTCATAGGGCCCCTAAAGCAGTGCTGGCTTTACCTGCTGAAGCTCCTCAGATCCCTGTGCTGGTGTCTCTCCACAGAGCCAGTTTCCTTGAGGGCCTCCTCCCAGTTTAAATGCAGCCCATGTCAATGTCACCACAAAACCTGAAGGCTCATTACGCTCCTCTGCAAGGCTCACCCTGACTTCTCTCCCAGCGTTAAGGGAATACTCCGTTTGGGCAAACCCTTCCAGCAGCCACCAAGAGCAACACACAGAGAAGCGGAAAGTTGAACCAGCTCCAAATCTTCTCTTACCTTGGTCATGTCGTGGGGATCAGGCACAACAAACATTCCCGGGGGCGGTTCCTTGTAAATGGACATGATATCCCTGAACAAAGGAAACAGGAATTAGTCAAGATCTCCCCTGGCGTTCATCAGCCCCCGAGACACAGAGCGCTCTTGATGACAAATCTGCATGGGTGTAAGGGGACAGACTTTGAAGATGGAAACGTGCAGCTCGTGAAGATCTAGACATTCTTCTTTTGCCTCTGTTTTCTGGCTGAGCTCTTTCAATTTATCCCCAAGAAATAGGTGAGGTGTTTCAAGAGCACAAGCAGCACTCACAGAATCAATACACGAGGCATCAGATCGAGCCACCCGACCCACCACCTTGTATTTTACCATAGATCAGCTCCAGCACGTAAAACTTCAACCAGGAACTTCCCTTAAAGCAGGCGTTTAAAAGTTCTCTTAGGTGAAGCTTGTTGTTTAAAGGATGACTCTCCCACCCCGTGTTTTCCCTCTTCAGACACAGACTGTTTTCAGGATCCTTTTCCTAGACCCAGTCGTTTGTTTTCCCCAAACACATCGTGACTCAACTGCCTTTGAGAAC